CCCAATTCCCACGAAGAATTAACCAATCAACCTACCAATAGACCAGCTTTTCCACCAATCTAACCGTCCAAACTTTCAACGCAACGCTTGCGAAAAAGCCGTCGGTTTTCCTCGTATCGTTTGATCGCGATTCACCCATAGTGTTTCCGAATCGCGTTGCAAATTTCTCGCTCGAACAGGTCCAATTAAAAAAATATATACACCTGGTTAGGAGAGTGAGACGAGGGTAGACAATGTGCGGCGGCAGTGAGGGACGAACGAGATTTTATTTCGAGGCTCGAATTCCTGGAAATTATTGCCATCTAGCCACCGTGACCGGCATTTTCCAAAACACCCTGACATCGAAACGTGTGTGCGTGTGTGCAGAGCGTGGAACGGTGACTGAACGCGTTCTCCACGCATGATGAGGAACGAACGGAATCATAAATGTCCGCTCTCTGCTCCGTGTGACACGGTTGCGGGAACGCAAGCGAGTCATGACATTGCGAGAAGGTATCTATAGGGCCTGGCGAGCTGGGGAATGAAAAGGGAGGGTTGGGTTCAGCCGCCGGAGAAATTTATGCCGTCCCCGTGATGGGATTTGACGGCGTAGACGTGGATTTTCAACGTCGAATCGCCAGCAGAAACTCGCACGGCCAACCTCGAACCATCCTGCCCCATTCTTTCATTGCCGTCCCATTTTTCTAGTGTTTCCCTATTTCTCCGTTTGATCGCGTAATCGCGGGCTATTTTCGCGTCTCCCGAGCGATCCGTTCAATCTTTCACGGTGTTATTTAGCCTCTCGTTTTCATACCTTTCCCGGTGCGATTCTCGCGTCACCGATAAAACCGTCCCTTTTATATTCACTACACTTCTTCTTCCAGATAAAAACGTTTGAAGCAAAAAAAGCGGGAAAAATTCTGGAATTTACAGCGATCCATCTTGTTCATTAGAAGATACGAAAAGAGAACAAAAACTCTATTTCACGTTGTAAAGGCTGATGTCAAAGAAGTTTTCATAATCTCTCAGTTGTATCGTTTCATCCGCTAACGTATTAAGTTCCAAGCATTCGCGGGTGGTTATATTCCTTCTCCTTTTTCTTTCGTCAGACATGGACACACACTTACCCTGAAATAGCCGGCGGTGCAGGTGTGTGTGTATATGGTCAGTGGCTAGGAGAGAGATCGTCCTACTTTACGTTTCACGCTCCATCTGGGCCAGTGTCCCGTATCTCGGCTCGTCTAACCGAATATACGTGCACATGTGTCCATCAGCCGTGCACAGAGATAGCGTTAACAAGCTTTATACAAGCAATGGCCCAGAGACCGATCTGCTTGCTAACATCAAAGAGACTCGGTCGTGTTTCCTGCATCAGGTCGCAGGGTCCATCGGCTTCGAGTGCACGTCGCGGAGATTCAAGGAACAGGTATACGCCGTGAGTGTGACGAACGCGAGGAAGGGTTACGTAGGCTGACGGTACAAGAGAGAGAGAGAGTGAGTGAGAGTGAGGTTGAAACTTACTTTATAGCCCAGGGGCTAAGTTGAATGGAGAAATGGTACGGAGAATACTCCTTTCTGGGGTTCGACTCGATAACGCGTTGTGGAAAGGTTTCTGCCCCGGGGGCGATGTTTCTGACCGCCAATCAGTCGGTTGGCCTCGATGATCACGTGACCGACTTCGTGCCACGTCAGTGAAAATCGCTACCAATCCTGCGGACTATTCAAAGGGAGGGAACTTTCCCAAGTTGTGGTTATTGCGACCGATCGATCCAACAGCGTGTATATAACACTGTGTATAGCAACGTTTCCACGAGGAGAGAGAGTGAGAGAGAGTGAGGTGAAACGTTGCCTCTGGCCTGCAACACACACTCGACCGCCACCAGCTCTGCTAACCTTCCGCTCTCTTATCCTCACCCTACCGAATTCTCCCGCTTTCGAACGTATCTATCTCTCTTTGCCTGAAGGGACAATGGGAAGGCAGGCGTTCCCCGGGAAATATCAGAGGATAGGAGGAGAGGCGCAGGTACTAGTAGCATCGGTGTGCTGCTGTGCTTCTCTCTTGCTAGTCGACTCGATGTAGCCACGCCAGCCATTGGCCAGCGGTGAGAGAGCACTTCCTGTTAGCCTCGACCCTCGTCCGCAACCAGCCGCAGGCCGCAAGCCTCGGCTCCTGCGAGCCGTAACCTCTAACCTCACGCTGTTCGGCCTGACCTCCTGCCGACAGCGTAATTGTTTAGAAACCCCTTGATCTGTAATTTCAGCGCCCGGCCTCCTCTCTACACGAAACATCGTTAACACGGCTCTCTCGCTCCGTTTCGCTCCTATCCTCTCCCTCCCAACCTTTCCTTCTACTACATAAGCCAGACTATTTCGTTGTCTCTCTTCGACTAACACGTTTCCCCTTCTACGTCCTTCTTCCTTTACTTTCTCATCTCTCTCTCTCTCTCTCACTGTTCTTCAACGGTTGGTACGTGCTAGTCGATATCTCGCGCATGCACGTCGTATCTCGTGAGGTTGGACAACTAGCAGGTGGAAAGTTCGAGCCAGGCCGAAAAACCAACGAGTCGTCATGCGAAAGGTCGAGCTTAATCGCGTGCCCTGTGTGTTACAGTCGATGAAGTTCTGTTTGAACGTGTTAGGATATTGCGAAGGGATGGTTCGAGTGTTATTTCGCTAGGTTGCGGCAAACTGTTCGGGGATTTGATCTGAATCTTTGTTTTTCTTATGTGGGTAGTCCGGTCCGTGGTGTAGTTTTGTTGTTTCAGTCCCATGGGAGAACGGTATCGCGGTGTGTTATTTATGGAAAGTGTGATATTCGTAAGTTCTTGTCTGGTTTACGGTGTTGTGCTTTATCGAACACATAAAGGGTTATCGTGGATCCCTTGGCGGAAGAAGCTTCAACAACAATTCCCCAAATTGCAACCTGCTTTTTCGGCTGTCCTTTCTCCTTATTTATATTAATTATTTAACAACGGAAGTTGGATTTATTCGGAGAGACTGTCTCCCCAACGAGGACGTATTCTACTCAAGATTCGCGTAAAAACAGTTCGATCTAGGTGGCGCTGTTTTACCAGAGATTTTTCGCGAAGCTTCCGCGCTGTCTGACCAGCGAGGTCCTATTCTACTTGAGGGTTTTGTAGAAATTTCTGTGCCGAGGAGATTTATACACACACGCCGCCGCTCATAAATATTTACCCGTCTACTTTTCCTTCTTTATTCAGAAAATGCGATGCATTTTTCAAAGGAATTATATCTTTTTCAAAATGAAACAAGTTAAACTTTCGACTTCTCCGCAAACACTTCAGAACAGCTTAACGATATTATCCGTGTTCAACGGAGTGGTTGAGCGTGCCGAATGCAGATCGAAAATTGCAATTCGTTGTATGAATATTTATAGAAGAAATACACGCGGACAATGAAGTAGCAAATTTAAACAAGTGGCTCTTATTGTAGCCTATTTTTCGGAACGAAAGAGCCGCGCTTGCTTTGAAGCTCTCGAACGTACGGCAAATCAAAGAAAAATTCGTTTAGTAACCGTGAATTCCTTCTTTCTTTTTTCTCCATCTATTCCATTCCTCAAAAAGAAATAATAGTCCAACGCTGTTTTTTCTTTGTCGCACGACAAAAAGGGTTTTTCAGTCTAGTACAAGGATTTACGAGGGGCAGATTATTGAAGGCCATTTCGAATCTCTTTTGTACGCGGGTCCACGCGTTTCCTCCTCCCCCTCACCGCGACCATACTTTCAAATTTCTCCGGTGCCTGCACGCGCAACTTTTTCTCGTTTACGAGCATCCATGTAACCGTACGCGCCTAATTCGCCTCATCAGTATGTATAACGTTGCCTCGTAACAAAGGGATTTAAAACGGCCTTCAATTACCCTACTCGCGTAGGTTCCGTACGCGTTTGAAGGTCCTCTATTATAGAAGAAGAAAAGGGAGGTAAAAAAAAAACGGAGAGTTTACCATTTCATTTAGAAGAAAAGGGGAAGATTGCCCTGTCTCTTTGAGATTCTTATTGCCGCAAAAATCACCCCCTTCTATTTCACATAATGCTTTTCATCTTCTTAAAAGGACAGAGAAGAGAGAGAGAGAGAGAGAGAAAAGAAAGGAGAGATTAAAGCGACGCTGGGGCTTGTTTGATCCAGTTTTACGGACAAATTTAACACGAGGACGGAGGCTCTGGTATAAAAAAGAGGCAGTCGAAGCTATTTTTCACTTGGGCGAAAATCTGCCAGCGTTCGAAAATTTTTCGGCACCCTTATCGAGGCAGAAAGCGGCGAAATAATCCACGGAATATCACAAGAGCGTCCGCAAATATTCATCGGGGTCATACATAAGATATGAAAGCGTGGCTCGTAAATATTTGAATAGAATTAATTACGCAAGCACGGTTCCGAGTGGGAATTATTGAAACAGTAAAAACAGCTCTAACTGGCAGATAAGGTTAGATGAAATAAATATTTGCGCTGAAATACCCTTATTTTTTCGTTTATTTTTCGGTGCTTGAAAATATACTTCCGAATTTGTCGCAGAGATAACATTATGCGCAAAAGTTCGTTCGTATTTTTTCAAACCGACCACTTGGCGAAAAAAAAAACGGAAATACGTTGCATTCCTTGTTAAAATAAATATATTTCTAAGGTTATCCAACGCTTTTCTCATTTTTCAGCCGAAGCTTACTTATTCATCGAAGCTACGAAGCTAGTATTTGCGTTTACCGAAACAACAGAAACTCCAATGAAATAATATCAATATTACAGTACAAACGAAGTATGAATTTTTAATTAAAAAATTGCCCCACTTTCGGTCGTCGTGAATTAAAAAATACTACAAGCACTGTCGAATAAAAGCTTCGCATCGAGAACGTCAGCGTTTAAATCCCCGCTGCTTCGGTCCCCCTAAAAATCTAATTTCCCAAGAATCCGAAAAGCTCGCTCTCGTCTACATACGAATAATCCGCATTCCCCGGGCGAAACCGACGTTTTCGATTAGCAAATTCACTCAGAGCACTGTTACTTACGATCTCCTCCAGCTTCGAGCAGCCTTTCCTCGCGGTGCAGGCCAGCGCGACGATCACGCCGCCGCCGAACATCAGCAGGAGGAACACCGCCAACTTCCATCCGTGATCCCTCTGCGGAATGAGCCTCTTGGCGCTGGCCAGCCTGGCAACCTCCGTCGTCGAGACGCCAAGACGAGACGCTCTCACCAGGATCGTCCTGAGCCGCCTGCTCGCTTTTTCACAGGCCATCTTCGTCGGATTGCTCCTCGAAGTCGACCTCGAAGACTTGACATGCACGTGATCCATTCTTCCCTCCAATTATTACTCAAACTGTACGCGTGGAAGAATATACGAAACACACTGGCACCTGCACATAACCGATCAGACGAAATGTACGTGTAGAAAAAGTGTCTCAACGAACACTTTCCTTCTTCCTCCTCGGAGAAATTGAATTGACAAGAATTTGACGGTAACGCGAAGTGCTTACGCACATATAGACAGTTCGTTCACGAAACACCGAAATACCATAACATCAACGAGCACGGTAAAACAGTCTCTATTCTCACTTGGTAGAGGTCTCTCGATCCAGAAGGGATCGCCGTTTCTCAGTAAGAAGCGATCGAGCAGCCTCTTTACGAGACTGTTTCCCTAGCAAAGTTCCCTTACGTAGAAAGGAGGGAGGGTTGAAACTGTTTGGCGAGATGGCGGCGATAGTTCTTCCCGGAAGCGGCCCTCGCCTATCGCTCGGAATACAGTGGAGCAACTGTCGAAAGTGGCCGTGGCACGAATGCTCGGTGTACCAATTCCAAGCGTTGGAACGTCGTCGACGGCTTTACCGCCTCACGTAGATGGACTCTTGTGCAGGTTTTATGAGATTATACCGACCAATGCTTGTGGTTATATCGCGTGGCCTCACACTCTCTCTCTCCTATCCTATTCCCTTCCCCTTCAGCTTCTCCCTGAGTCCTGCTGTCCCCATAAGCTCGAAGCCGGGGCTCGTTATATTTTTATGCTCACCACGTGGCAGGATGTGAAACGACGAGACGTTCGCCGAATGGAAATCGGCCCGAGATAAAGGGAAATGAGCGTGGATATCCAAATGAAACCGATCAACCTTTATTCAACTAAATCTCTCGCGTTTCTTCGCGCTGTTACAACCCGGGAACACTGTACCGATTTTTTCCCTCCGCGATCGATATTTATTCCAACGGTTATTCTCTCTGCTTCGCGTTAAACGATCCGGCGAAAAGGAGGCTCGATACTATCTCGTTCGATCGACTTGTCGTTACCGTGTCCACACACACACACACACACACCTAGCTAGCCTCCTCCTTTTACCACTCTTCTTCTCGTTCTCCAGTCATCTGGCAGGTTCGCATCGGTCGAGGTTGGATTAAGGCGACCACGAACACCCTCGTTCCACGCGAAATGGGGTAATGAAAGCGTCCTCCGATCTCTGCAACCTCTTTCGTACGCCTGGTGTAGCGACTCGTGACGACGAATTTTCTTTCTTCCTCATATTTCTTCCACGTTTCCACGATGGATGTTCCCTATATTGTCACCCATGATCGAGCTGTTCCAGATGAATTCTGCTATTTCATTATCCACAGCCGGAGAGCGTGCTCGAGTATCGCATTCTCTCTCTCTCTTTCTCGCTTCCTTTCTCTTGTCCTTTTCACACGGTTCGTTTCACGGTTCGCTTGGAAACTTTCTGCCGCCTTAAGAGATGGAACTCTCTAATGGGCCGGCGATTTCTCGCATCTCTGGTGAACGCGCGACTCGTTCCAACCGACGGTCTCACCTGCAAACAAAAACATCCGTCACCGGTGAAAATTCGAGCTTAATCGCGCGGCGTCCTTTTCTAATCGACACAACCATATCACCGTTTTGTTTCCCCCACCGGTCGGGTTACTTGTTGCTTTAATTCGCGGTCGTCTGGCGCGCAAACAAAAATCCACCAGGCGGGATTAACGAGAGAAAAAATCGATCAGATCGCGCGTAACAATTGAAATTTGCGGAATTATCAGCGGTGCACGGTTTCGTGGTATCGATTTCGAAAGAATGCGCCTTGCGTGGAATTTAATATTTGCCGTTTCGAACGTGCGCGACTATGCATCGGTGCCTTTATCGCGTCGAATAAGTATCCAGTTGTGTGTTTCGTATTGTCGGAGTAGAAATTTTTTTTCATTTGATCTCCCTGTGACACCCTGTACAGATTATTTCTAACACGAGGATTTTCCTTCTGGACATAATATCCAGCGCATTAATATTTCTCGGAACTGATCGATCGAATTATCCTGGAAATATCTGCGGTTTTTATAGAGCCTCGTGCATCCTTTATGTCGCAATATTCCCCCGGAGAATATTATCCACCTTACAAACACCGCTAGAATTTCCCGCGTATTTATCCAGCAAGTTTCCTACAATTTTTAAATCACCTAATTTCCACTCCAAATATTTCCCCCGGTAATATTACTCGGAGCTGATCAAACACGCGATATCTCGTTATATTATGCCGGCGGAAATAAAACGAGGATAATTTTCAACCGAGCTAACAGAAAGGACACAATCCCTCCGGGGAGAAAGAAAAAAGAAAGAAACGAAGAAAAATACACGGTGGTCGTAACTCATTCCTCGAAAAACTGGGCAAGGAAGAAAACAGCAACGACGCAGGTTGCTCTTTTCTGAACCTCGAGCACTCGGCTGCAACGACGCAATTAACAGAGGATTTAAGATTAACCAGCAAAGAATTACGGACAAGAAAATGGCATTCAAGTTGCGCGCGTATACGCGGGACTGACAGAAACAGGATTAAGTGGACGGAATTCGAGAGCCGGAATCCAAGGTAATTCTCGCTTAATCCCAGGACACGGTCCCTCGTTCCGTTCGGCTGCAACGCGAGTATTTTTGTCCGTGATATCGCCCGTCCAAAGATAATCCCATCGTCGATATTGCCTCCATCTTTAATGCACTCAAAATCCATCCGGGCCGATGGTACGTCCCCCGTTTCGACAGAAATAAGATCGCCGACGTTTATACCGACAGACTTAACGCTCTCCTTCTCCGATCGTTCGAATAGAAGAGACGTTTTTATCGATCTCTATACCGTCTCGCGATTACACTTCCGTTCATTGGCCGGCCTCTGACGGTAGACGTACGCGTGTGCACGTCAACCGAGGCGAGACAACGTACCGCGTGACATTAGCAACACGTGAAATCGCGTAATTGAACGCGTAACCGCGTGTCGTCTTGTGTTTGCCGTCTCGAATAATTCCCGTCGCCGTGAGAATTTCGCGTAATTAGGAGAAACGGCGGGATATTCGAGGAGCGGCTGGTTTATGATGTAACGAGCTCGTGGAATGAATTTAGGGGAGCGATTGTTTATTTCGGTGTACTTCTATCGGCTGAGAGAACTGGGACAGAGGAAACTGAAGGTTTCTTGTAGGTTTGAGACGAAGTTTATAGTGAAACTGACTGGGATTAAATTCTCGTTCGACAAATTTTTCTCTGTTTTCTGCCGTTTTTATGTCGTCGCTGTAAAAATTTTTATTTTTCAATTTTTGTCACTGACTTATGGAACGACACGATGTTATATTCCTAGAGTAATTTTTCGTTGGTGCTTCTTGTAACATTACTGCGTGGAAGCATGTAGATTTACAGATTGATTTATAGATGTAGAAAGAAGATTGTTTGAAGTAAGTTTGAAGTATTCTAAAGGGCGAACTGTTTCGGAAAACGAGAAGTGAAACATTTAAACATGAAGATAATTAATCCTTGCTAGAGTTACCAGAGGTACATTAATTCGTACATTACTGCCCAAATGTAGACGCTGCATTTTCTGTAACTTCATACATCCACGAACAGGCAGACACACATGTAATCCCTATACACTTCCCGTGTCTAATTTGCTTCGCGTTACCATTGTACTCTCATTCAACATCTACGCGTATAACTACTAAAATAAAAAAACTTAACTGCAACATTTTAATTAAAAATTCTTATTCATTCCGTGACACAGTGAGCTGTAATAATTTCTCTATCGAATAACAGAAAAGGAGTTCGCGTAACTTATAATCCATCTAACGAGGAAAAAACCACGTCAACTTTTTTCATTACCTGATACAACCAAAAAGAATTTCATTTACAACCCCGGAGTACTGTAAATAAATTACCAAGAATAATACATAGTAGAATCACAGTTAACTGCAACTTTCCAATCAGATAACCAAAGCACATTCCCGAGGTTTCAAAGAACCACGTCAACTTTCTTGATTACCTTCTTACAAGCGACGAGAATTTCATTTATAACCGACCACCAACGAATGAATTATCAAGAGAAGGGGTTTACACGTGACCTGGAAAGAAGGTCTATTCCATAGCCACCGTAATCCCGCGTAAAAGAAATTACAACAGGCGTCTATTGTCCCCCGATAGCGCGATCGTCAGGATTAGGTACCGTAGAAAGTTATCCACGGGTACGGTGGTCGTATCTAAATCACTTGGCGCTAACGATTATCTCGATCCGTGAATGGGGGGAGGAGAAGAGAGGAGAGGAGAGAGAGAAGAGGGCGTAAGCTTAATCGCGCCGAGCTAATTCTCGCTCGAAACTCCCCAGACTGCAATAGTCGTAACGTTCGCGTGAAAGCTCGCGTATGAGAACGTGCCAAGAAAGCTGTGCCGTTTTGTGAGCCAGTCGAGGCCGTTCCTCCAACTCAAAAGTACTTTCCTTTTAATCGCGAATGTATGTAACTTTAGGTTAAAAGCATGTTAAAGGCTCAGCCAATCCACGGGACTTACGTCTACCTCTTCCGTAAAAGATTCCCCGCGAGCCAATTCGAATCCCTTCCGTGTTTCAACCTCATCCTCCTTCTTCGTACTTTCCACATCCATCCCTCTCTCTCTCTCCCTATCTCCAGCTTCACCTTCTCCGCAGACGTTGGCTAATTAACGCGATCTAATGCCGACACTGCGATTCGAATAGCGTTTTCCCTTTAATTCCAGCGGCGGCGTTTGCTAATCTTCCAAAATTAATCACCGTCGATGTAAGCCCGAAACGCCCACAAGCCGGGTCCCGACGTTATACCTCCCCCTTCATCTGCTACGAGTCTCTCTGTGTTACTCACAGAAGCCTCGAGATGCAGAGTAACTGGCGATAGAGAAGAGAGATAGGAGGAAGGGAGAGCTTTATAAATTCTACCGAGAGTAAAAGCCAACGTGGCCCGCGCGTTCCGTCGAAAGCAAATGACGAGTAAAGTTGTGTCATTAAAGCGAGGAATCACCGTGATGAAGTTGCCTCGAAACTAAAA